TTCTTTAACGCTATATCTAACATAGTGTTTCTTGCTAGTAAATCTTTATTAAACGTCTTCTTTTGCCTTTAAGACAGCTAAAGGTGTTTTAATAAGTCAAAGTGAGTGAAATAAAAGAACCTATTGCAGGTCGATCAAACTTAATGCGGTTCTGTAAAACCGCCTTTTGATGTTGTCTGAAGGTTGAAATAGCCCTTAAATACCGTTTCATTCTTCGTGTCAGGTGAATCTGACAGGAGCGCCTGTGATTGCGGTGCAGCAGGATTTTGAGAGACGCGTCCATGTTGACATGTTTGATGCGAGGTGTGTTGTTACCACAACTCCAAAGCTGACTACATTGGGTTTAGCAACTCTTTCACTTAAGGAATTATCTGCTCACGGAGTGGAGGTATGTTTCCTCATTCCTGAAACTGCTCCATCCAGAGGGTTGGGAAGATTCAGGAATCGCCGACTTTACCAGTCAGCTGCGCCCATTAGGATTCAGTGGGCTAGAGCATGTTTGACTCTAACTAGAGATTTCAATAAAGCCTTTTCCATTCACAGTAATTTGTACTAGTCTCACAATCCCTTTTTGTGTTCGTGTTTACTTTTACAGACATTTCTACCTCAAAACGATATCCGAGACAAAAAATGTATAATGTTGTTGGAAAGGGATCACCTGATATCAACATAGCTTTCCTAGAGTTCGTGAAGAGCGTTATGCAGAAAAGTGAAGAACTAGAATTAAGGTATTGTGGTTAGATTCATTATTAGTAATCGGTAACCGTTACCAGAGTAAAAATTGCAGAAATACACCACGGAGCTCTCCTAGCCATTGGAAGCAGATAGGGATGTGTTTGAAGCACATTGTAACATATATTTCTTGCAATGTTAAATTTTAAGTTGACAATTTTGACGAGAAGGACAACCTGTTGACAGGTCTGCCAAGTTTGTCCTACTGCAGTTAAGATGGTATACGGAGTAGTCAGTGTTAAGTAGTAATTGATTGCCTATGCTGATCGAAACGAGCTAAGACTTTGACGTATTTCATATCATCGTTACATCGCTGTTAATATTGCTGCACGAGAAACGCTCTATTAATATGCAGGTTTCATTTTAGCTGTGGGATAATCAGCGCCGGTTAATCATCTACCCACCATATTTAAGTAGCAATTATTTTGACGCCTTAATGTCACCTGCCTAGGGCAAATTCGAGGTGAAATCAATGGGCACGGTCTCGGTCAGGGGTTTCGTTATTTCGTTTTCCGTACAGTTCCCAGAAGGTGATGTGCTCTCTACTTCAACCTATAAAGCGCAAGTACTGATCATGGTATTCGATCCACTTTAAATTGGGCGACAACACAAATTTAAACTGGAGCAATCCTTTCCAAATGCTATGAAAGGATGCTGGATTCCCCCATTTCCATCCAAAAAAGACAAAAAACCTTTTTTAGTTCCAGAACACATCGACGAGGAATGCTGTCCATGGATGATACCACACTGCAACACGTGTCAACGATCGATTCACATACGTGTCAGCTGATGCGAGGAAGTGAATTCACACAACCAGCCGCCAGACATGCTGAACTACGCGTTTCGATGCTTTCTACTACTTCTCGTGCTTCTGTGCATTGCCGTTACTTCCACGATCCAGTTCACTGTCCTCTTTACCGGGCTCCTTCTCGTCCTCCACTTCCACCGCCTTCCTCTCCCTCGTCATCTCCTTTTTAGTTCTAGCCTCTCAATCCGCCATTCCAAAGACGTCAGGATATCCAAACGAGTAGAACGAATGAAAGTCGTAGTAATTAGGGGTAAGTTATGCTACCTCCTTCTCCTGCTTCCGTCCTTTCTGCTTTCCCTCCTCATTCATGTTTAATCACCATTTTAATATTAACTCAACTTTTAGTCCAGTCATTGCGACATACATGGGGACAACTAGGAGGAGCCTCCTTATGCGCATCGTTTGACAACCATGCATGTTTCCTCCAACTAAGTGAATTGTTTTATTTTTCTATCAGTTTTATGGCTAGGAAGGTAGGTAGGTTTGTAGGTGGGTAAATGCATAAAATACGAATGGACGGAAGAGAAGGAAGCAAGTTACGTGGTAAACAGAACCGTGCAAGATATTCAACTTCTACCTTTAGTAAAGATACACATGCCCCCCAACTCTGTCCACTGCTTTATGCTTCATTTGAGTCGTCTTATCTGGCCCCATCTCTCCTCTTCTCTTCCTTAACCCTCCTCCTCCTTCTTCTTCAGTCACACAGTTATGTTACTTCGCCTCCACCGGAAGGGTTCAATCACCTTTATTGTTCTCCCTGGTCAGAGGCGACAATTCACCAAGAGGCAAAATTAAAAACTCTCATCAAGAACTCACGTTCGCTAGCTGCGTAGCAATGTTTAGGGGTAAGTGGCCAATTCGTCCAACCCATTCATATTACTCACTACACCTACTGTGCCGCACCCGCTGTTTATGCTTCCCTTATGTGCATTCACAACGAACAACCCACTACTAGCATTAGAAGCAGTAGTCGTAGTGGCCTATATAACCTTTCCCCATATCTTTAGGGGTTGCATATTCTACTTGAAAAGCACTAGATTACGCTACACTAGATCCGGCTTGACTAAGGTACATTTATAGTGAACACAGGATGAAAGGGGAGACAGATATAAAATGTTGATATCTTCTTCAACTGTTTAGACAGTGAATGATGACCACTTTTCTCTGTGGCTGCTTCTGGATCTGGCGGTGGGACTGTTTATGGTGACTGCGGTTTTGAGTAGGGCATCAAGAGCAAAGAGCATTGGAGTGAGATATTACAATAATGAGGTGGGAGTCTCCATGTTTACCCAACTGAGATGTCAGTGAAACTGGACTGTTAAACGATTTCCTCCCTCAGATGGGATACACTCTTATTAAGTTTGAGACTGTTGAATGCATCCGCCCATTTGCATTTCAAACGTCTACTTTTTAGCTGGAATTGGCCGAACTCTACCTTGGGGACACTAGACCGTCCACAAGGCGAGCTCTCTAGCTTTGAGCAGTGCTGATGTACGAAGAGTGGAATTTTGGAGCACCGAATACATCAGTTCCACGTAGCACAAGCGGAATGCTGTTGCGCGAATTGTGGTATCATCTGCTCCATTTTTCCTCAACACACGTGGTCGTGAGCGGCAGCTGGGAGCAGAGGAAGAGAATACAGAGAATGAGGTTGGAAGACGAGGACAGTAGTGTGACTTCAGTGCCAAGGTGACTATATATATATATATGGGGCATATGAAATGGGAGGGTAACAAGGTGCCTCCTGCTCCACCGTTTCGACGACGTAAACAGACCTCGTTGCTATATGTGTACATTGATTCCTAATATCTACGCCAGAGAAGAAAAAAGCCCCATTGTACGTAGCCAAAGTTCTATCTAGTCGATTTGGCGTGCCAGCCGAGGAAGTTGTGGGATCGCCTCGAACGGACGAGCATGGTAGCAGCTATGAGGTATGCATGATAGAACAGATAATCCTATCAACCTATCTTATCCTATCGTCTTGCTAAGGCGCCTCATCTAGTGTGATCAAGTTAAGCCAGGTCTAGAGCAGCGTAAACCAGCGCTTCTTGAGTGCACTGTGTAACTAACAATTATGTTGGGAGGGGTAATATAAGTCCCTACGACTACTTCTACTGCTGTTGATGGTGAGTTGGTGGTTGCAAATGCACATAAGGGAGGCATAAGCGGC